CGTGATTCCTATTACAAGAACATGATCAATCTCATACATCACATATCATTCATCACATTCTTCTTGGCCATATCACATCACATAGCATACCCTGCAAAAACAAGTTAGACGTCCTCTAATTGTTGTTTGCATGTTTTATGTGGCTGCTATGGGTTTCTAGCAAGAACGTTTCTTACCTACGCAAAACCACAACGTGATATGCCAATTGCTATTTACCCTTCATAAGGACCCTTTTCATCGAATCCGTTCCGACTAAAGTGGGAGAGACTGGCACCCGCTAGCCACCTTATGCACCGAGTGCATGTCAGTCGGTGGAACCGGTCTCACGTAAGTGTACGTGTAAGGTCGGTCCGGGCCGCTTCATCCGACAATACCGTCGAAACAAGATTGGACTAGTAACGGTAAGCATATTGAACAAAATCAACGCCCACAACTACTTTGTGTTCTACTCGTGCATAGAAACTACGCATAGACCTAGCTCATGATGCCACTGTATGTTGGGAAACGTAGCAGAAATTCAAAATTTTCTACGCATCACCAAGATCAATCTATGGAGTAACTAGCAACGAGAGAGAGGGGAGTGCATCTTCATACCCTTGAAGATCACGATGCGGAAGCGTTGCAAGAACGCGGTCGGTGGAGTTGTTCACTAAGCGATTCAGATCGCGGCCGAATCCGATCTAAGCACCGAACAACGGTGCCTCCGCGTTCAACACACGTACAGCCCGGGGACGTCTCCTCCTTCTTGATCCAGCAAGGGGAGAGGAGAAGTTGAGGGAGAGCTCCGGCAGCACGACGGCGTGGTGGTGGAGCTTGCAGTTCTCCGGCAGAGCTTCGCCAAGCACTACTACGGAGGAGGAGGTGTTGGGGAGGGAGAGGGCTGCGCCAGGGGAAGGTTGAAGCTCCCATGCGCCTCCCCACTATATATAGGGGTGGAGGGGGCTGGTTTCTTGCCCTCCAAGTCCATTGGAGCGTTGGCAAAGGTGGGAGGAAAGAAATCCCATCATTTCCTTCCCCACCAATTGTTATCCCCTTTTTTTAGGGATCTTGATCTTATCCCTTCGGGATATGATCTTATTCCTTCTAAGGGGGAATCTTGGTGCGCCTTGACCAGGGGTGTGGGGCCTTGCCCCCACTACCCACGTTCATGTGGGTCCCCCCATGCAGGTGGGCCCCACTCCGGAACCTTCTAGAACCTTCCCGGTACAATACCGAAAAATCCCAAACATTTTTCGGTGGCCAAAATAGGACTTCCCATATATAAATCTTTACCTCCGGACCATTCCAGAACTCCTCGTGACGTCCGGGATGTCATCCGGGACTCCGAACAACATTCGGTAACTGCACACTAATTCCCATAACAACTCTAGCGTCATCGAACCTTAAGTGTGTAGACCCTATGGGTTCGGGAATCATGCAGACATGACCGAGACAGCTCTCTGGCCAATAACCAACATCGGGATCTGGATACCCATGTTGGCTCCCACATGTTCCACGATGATCTCATCGGATGAACCACGATGTCAAGGATTCAAGCAATCCCGTATACAATTCCCTTTGTCTACCGGTATAGTACTTGCCCGAGATTCGATCGTCGGTATCTCGATACCTTGTTCAATCTCGTTACCGGCAAGTCTCTTTACTCGTTCCGTAACACATCATCCCATGATCAACCCCTTGGTCACATTGTGCACATTATGATGATGTCCTACCGAGTGGGCCCAGAGATACCTCTCCATCACACGGAGTGACAAATCCCAGTCTCGATTCGTGCCAACCCAACAGACACTTTCGGAGATACCCGTAGTGCACCTTTATAGCCACCCAGTTACGTTGTGACGTTTGGTACATCCAAAGCATTCCTACGGTATCCGGGAGTTGCACAATCTCATGGTCTAAGGAAATGGTACTTGACATTAGAAAAGCTTTAGCATACGAACTACACGATCTTTGTGCTAGGCTTAGGATTGGGTCTTGTCCATCACATCATTCTCCTAATGATGTGATCCCGTTATCAACGACATCCAATGTCCATGGTTAGGAAACCGTAACCATCTATTGATCAACGAGCTAGTCAACTAGAGGCTTACTAGGGACATGGTGTTGTCTATGTATCCACACATGTATCTGAGTTTCCTATCAATACAATTATAGCATGGATAATAAACTATTATCATGAACAAGGAAATATTATAATAATAACTAATTTATTATTGCCTCTAGGGCATATTTCCAACACATGTCACCCTGTACGGCGGACCGAACTTGAATTTTCACCTGGAGCACCGACCAGGGGCGGGAGGACTACCACAACGAAGCTCGGAGCTTTCGCTTGGTAGCTCTCTCGCACCTTGTCAAGAACCCTAGCCACATGCCCAACACGGGAAAAGGGCCCATCGCAACTGGATCATGGCATACATATCTGGGTCAGTGCTTAGCCACCACCGCCGACAGCGACTTCGCTAAGACCACTGACCATCGCTCCCCTTACCATCCACATGGCCAAGGGGAGCGACAAACACCACTGTCATGGGGCTCCTCGGAGAGCCACCCACGTGTCCCGTCTTTGAGGGCCGCCGAAGCAACCACGCCACAAACAAGACCCCAGATTGACCCAGCCGACGGCCTTGGCCAGATTTGGGAAACCAGATCTGAATTCATTGTCTTTTGTTTTTTGCAGTGCCAGACTTGTAAGTACTTGCCATTTCTGTGTTATTTTTCCGGAAGGGAGGCAAAAGTTGAATCAGCTATTAAATGGAGAGAATAGAGCTTGTTACAAATACACCCAAAAAACCTCATGAATGATTACTATCATAATATAATTGACCCTAACTTTTTTGCTCCGGCGGTGATTCAAAGATTTGGCTCGGCCGTGATGGTGTTGAGCAAGATTGGCAGTGGAGCGCTTTTATGTCGGAACACCTTTGCTTTTCTCTCGTTCCACAATGTCCACGACACAAACATGGTAAGTGAAGGCTTGGCTTTTCTGCTGGGGGTTCCCACTGCGCTTGTACTTGCCCATCTCCTGGACGGAGTCCACGAATGTCATGAGGAAGTGTCCATGTCAACAATACAGAATTTCTCAATGACCAAGTTCCAAACCTTAGGGTGTGGCGACATTTAAAGAATAGGTGAGACCCACATTCTTGCACCTTCTTGCAAAGAGGGCAAAGACCGCAATTTGGCTACCCTTGTTTGGCCAATCTATTGGAGGTCCAAACTATATCTTGAAGCAGCAGCCAAGTAATGAACTTGACTTTTGGTAGGGCCAAGCCTTCTCATTTGTTCCATAGAGGAGAGCACCTTGCCAAGAAATTGCGCCTTGTAGGCGGAGGCCGCCGGATAGTGTGCACACACAGAATGTTCATCCTCGGTGAGCTCGCAAGATGGACCTCGTGTAGAAGCATCTAAAGGGTAAAAAATTGCCAGATGTGCTCAACAGAAGGGGTTCGATTCTTGAGGATACACGTGGCATGCTTGAGGGTCTCCCACACCTTTCAATTTTTCCACGAGGATGCCTCATGGATGAGTGGATTCTTTTTAACACGGTATAGATGTAGAGGCTTATACATTTGCACATACACTCATTCCTATGAATGCACACATGCATGTATACCCCACCCTATGAGCATCTCTAAGAGGCTTGAGTCAGCATATCATCTTGAGATTGACGAAATCGTCATAGACGCCCTCGTAGTCCACGGGAACCGCAGACACTGACCAGCTGAGGCACTAGAGCAGCCTTACATGCATGCAGCCATGTAAGTAGTCGGCTAATGCGCCTCTGTCCACCGTCAAAATCGAACCAAACTTTGGACCCGTTCTCGGTCCCTCTCGCCGATCCAGAAAAGGAAGCAGAAGACGCGGTGCAGCCGAGCCAGAAATTTTGTGCGGCGAATGATTATAGGAACGTACTGAGCTGAAGGGGGTCCCTGAATGATCGATGCATGCTGAGCTGAAGGAGCTCCTGACGGAGAGGAGGATCCATCCATCAGAGCATCACCAGCGCGAACCTAGCTGCCGGAGGGGATCGATCGATACGTGTGAGAAAACACGGGAAATCCGATGCTTTCCCGCCCTTTTCTCCGGCCGTTTTCATCATGTGCTGGACATGCCAAAAACTAAAGCGACGGATGCTACTTCATCCTTTCCGCACACAGTTCGCCCCACTTCCGTCGTGTGTTGCTAATCATACGCGTGGCCCGGCGTCTGTATCTATGTGCTGATTGCCATCGCTAGTGCTGTCCAATTCGATCATGCTTGGTTAATTCTGTGTGTGTATGTTCCTTGGTGGTACTGTAAGTGGCACTCTCCATCATCAAGACAAACACAAAGATGTTCGGTTGATTGCATCATTGGATTGGCCGGAGATAGCCAAAATATCTAGAGTTCTCTTCCTCTAGATTAGATTAGAGGAAGGTGACTCGTATCCTAATCGGCACCGAGTACTTTTTATAGTTTGGAGACGGGCATGCGATCGATCGAGCAAATGGCTTGTGATACAAAACTGTGGCCGGTTACGCACACGTGATCAATTCATTCTAACTCTTTTTTTGTTGTGATTGCTTCGTCACCTCCTCAATCTTCATCTACTTGACGAATAATTCTTTGTAGTAACATGCATGAAGGTTACATTACATATCTCTCTCGACAGATTAATCGATTGCACAGCCTCGTCAGGGATGCATGTTCGATTCAAGTTTTATTGCGGCCATCAAAAGTTACACACGGCTGGTTACAAACCAATCACTCCGTATTTACCCAGGAAAGAATGAGTAAAGTCCAAAAGAGAAAAGAAAAATGAAAGATCCATCAACGACATTACACGTAGTACACATACTGAAGAAGACACACTAGCTAGCTAGTGAAGTATACTCATGTTTTGAGGGAAGAGGAGACGGGATTATTGGAGCGCTAAGTGCAAGATTAGTAGCGAACGCTCCGATAATAACCTTCCCCTCAGTTACCCCAGGTCACCGGTAGTTGAGTAGTTTGATGTTTCACAGCCCCAGCATGTCCGTGCACCACAGGTCATCGGCGCAGGCGCCCCACATGGTCTCGCCGCCGAACTCCAGCTCCGGGAAGCCCACGTCGGCGTACAGCCCGGCGGGGAGCGAGGTCTGGTCGGACCACCACGTCTCGGCGCCGAGCAGCTGCGGCTGCGACTCAGCCTGTTGGTGGTGCTGTTGTTCTTGGGTCATCATGAGGCCGCCGTGAGTCTGCGGCGGCTGCCAGAGCGCCGTGTCGTGCATGGCAGCGCTGCTGATGACGCTTCCGCGCGCGCTCTCGGCGGTAGCCACCATGGGCGCCGGCGCGGGCAGGGGCTGCAGCACGCCGCAGCCGTCCGTGGACACCGACGACGACGAGGACAGGGCGGTGGTGCATGACAGCTCCACGTCGGCCGCGGCGCCGGGGCCGAGGTCGAACACGTCGTCGACGGGCCAGCACCGCCCGTCCGCCGCGACGGGCAGCGCGGCCGCCGTGGCCTGCGCTATCACGTCGCCGTCGCCGGAGTTGTTGGCGGCGGCGTGGATGCGCTCGAGGAGGCGGGGGATCCAGAGGCCGCGCACGAGGTCCCTGAACCGCTGGCTGCCGACGTCGCACCGCAGCTGCTTGGCGTGGCGCTGCACCCGCGTCCGCCAGTAGTTCTTGATCTCGTTGTCGGTGCGGCCGGGGAGGTGCTGCGCGATCTTGGACCATCGGTTGCCCCACCGCGCGTGCAGCTCGAGGACGAGCAGCTGCTCCTCCGCCGTCATGCCGCCGCGCCGCAGGTCCGGCCGCAGGTAGTTGAGCCACCGCAGGCGGCAGCTCTTGCCCGTGCGCTTCAGCCCCGCGCGCCGCGCCAGCGCGTTCCACCGGCCCTCGCCGTTGGCCGCGATGTAGTTGGCGAGGAGCACGTCCTCCTCCACCGTCCACGGCCCGCGCCGGAGCATCTCCTCCTCCCCCACCGCCGCCGCCGCTGCCTCCTCGCCTCTCAGCCCCCGCTGATCGTACGCCATCGCCACAACAGACAAACGAAGCTAGCAGCTATCCGGATCTCTGTATGGGTGATCAAATGATGAGACGATGAAAAGGGCGGGAGAGCCATCCGCCATGGACGGGCTTATATAGAGGAGAGGAGTGAGAGAGATCAGTGGCTAGCTTTGCTGTAGGTAGTGGAGGGAGAGAGGTATTCCGTGGTAGCTTGGTTGGCTTGGCTTGGACTTGAAAAGAGTTAGACTGGACGATTGATGATGATGAGGATTGATGATGGAAGGCAGGGGAGCACGCCGCAACCGTGGAGGATTAGTTTAAGCATGATGATGAACCAAACTCGAAAAAGCCAAAAGTTGAGGCGTGATTAGCCCGTCTTTTGGAATTACAGCACCAGATTAACGACGCTAACCCGCGGGCACACGCCAGTTAAAGCTACCTTAATTTTACTCGTCCTGCTTTGCTTTGATTTTGACCCCTGTCCGGTGTACAAGAAATATTTTACGCCAATTACTCGTGCTGCTAAGTCGTGTCGTACATCCCTCTGTAAATAAAATATAAGAGCGTTTAGATCACTACTTTAATGATCTAAACGATCAACACTCTTATATTTCTTTACGGAGGGAGTAAGAATGTATCACGAAACTATGCGGGTATCCATAGAAGAAATACTTTACTGTTTCTCATCACAACGTTCCCTGAATACCTTGCACCAATTTGTCACCAATGGCATATACTACAATAGTACTCCCTCAGTTCCTAAATATTTATCTTTTTTAAGATTTTAAATGGACTACTACATACGGATGTATATAGACATATTTTAGAGTGTAGATTCATTCATCTTTCTCCATATGTACTCCCTCCGTTCCTAAATAATTGTCTTTCTAGAGATTTCAACAAGTGACTACATACGGAGCAAATTGAGTGAATCTACACTCTAAAACATGTCTATATACATCCGTATGTTGTAGTCCATTTGAGATGGCTAGAAAGACAATTATTTGGGAACGGAGGGAGTAGTCACTTGTTGAAATCTCTAAAAAAACAAATATTTAGGAACAGGGGGAGTAGTAGTTAGATTTAGCAAACTATTGAATATCAATAGAAGATTGTGTGTGTGTGGATTTCATCACAAAATACACGCCTGAAATCCCTGAATACATGCGCCAATTTGTCACTATGCTACAGAAGATAAGCTCTCTCATATATGCCGGCCTAGCTAGCTAGCTAGGTAGCAAGCAGCATGGTGCTCTCAATTATATTGTCACACAGTCAACTGCCTGAGGTGATAATTAAGCAGGAAATAGCACATGTTTTCTATAACCGGAAGAAAAAAAACAAAAGAAATCTTTTCTAAATAATGGAGCAGAGCAGGTGTATGGTCAGGATCCACATCAGTGCAGGCGGCAGCACAGTTGGGATTGGATTTTTGGTTTAGTTTAGTTTGGTAGGTGTGCATGCATGGACGTTTTTGTCAAAGCCCGTAAGCAGACTCCGGTCTCCCCGCTGACGCGGCTGATCGATACGTCTCTCAGAATACTTCATGGCTTGTACCACAGCGGTCCAAGCCAAGTGATGTCCCTGACAATCTTATAAGCTCCACCTCCATGGCTGCCGATCTGCCATTGTTTAGTTTCATTTCAGCTTGCATGATGGATGGATGGATTGACACATTGAGCTGTTGGCGCGTGTGAAGTAATTTGTTTGCTTGCGTGCAAAGGTCAAATTATTCGCTGCCATAGGTGCTGTGAGCAGACTTCAGTGCGTGCATACATATTCCAGTTGACCACGGGGTCTATGTGCTGTCTTCATGTCCCGGGGTATTTATTACATTTCCTTTTGTCTAAGTTTAAAATTGCAAACACTTGGACCTACGTATTAACCAAACCAACAGTACAAACAACCGTGAAAAACAAATAAATTGCAACCCCTGATGTCTCCTTCCTTTCAAACAGTGTGATGGCACGCCAGTATTTGCCGCGTCGACGCCGAATCTAACCTATCATTGTTGATCACGGATGGGAAGCCATCAAGGCCACAGTCCTGTTGGACCATTGTCCTCGAGATGAAGTTGTCACAGTTGGAAGAGCCGCAGATCCAAGGATCTGGTCTCTATTAATTCTTGACGCATCGATGTGCCAGAGGACGTAGCTTTGAAGGAGGTCGTCGCCACACGCCCACATACCCTGCAAAACCTAGTCTGGCCTTCCAGAACTACTGGTAGAAATAAATGCACGTGAATCTTTGTTGCCGCAAACAACCCTGTCGGCATAGGAAGGCTCGAAAAATTATTCGTCGGGAAGACACCACCACTGGAAGTACCGAAGAGATGAATAACGAAAACTGACCTAAAAGCCCAAAATCGAAGAAAGCTACATATACATTCAGTAGATCAAGGCCTTTGGGCACTTCCACACCAGCAGAACAAGTGAAGGAGGAGGGACCAGTGACCTACTGACGGCGGATTACCACGAATCTACATTCCACCTTAATGTGATAACCACGATTTCAAATCTCAGGTTACATCCTGCCGGGCTAAACATATGACCAATCATCGAATCCAGTCCAACAATTGCTTAGTTCTCATTTCGATTTGATTTCATACTCCACCAAAAGTGTTTTTATGATAACGTGGTGACCTGGTCATAAAAAGGGAACGAAATAAAGAAAATGGTGAAAGAACATAGAAAAATCAGGGAAAATATAGCATCCTAGTAAAGTTGCTAAAAAATTAAGAATTTAATCATGGTCGAAATCATGCGAAGTTAATAAGGGTTTTTTCTTTTCTTTTATTCATTCTCATAAATTTTAAATTTTGTCTATAATGTTCATGAATTTCTGAATTATTGTTTCTATTTTAGGGCTTTCCTTTTGTGTTTTTCTTCTGTTTTAAAATATCTGGTGACTCTTTATTTCAATAAGACACTTTTGAAATGTTTTTTTAGTTCCTATTCTCAATATTTGTTTGTTGAATTTACAAATAATTTAAACTAGCCCGCCAAATTACTTGAATTTTCAATCAAATAAAATTCCAATTTCTCTATCATTCCTTTTCACCTCACCCCTCCTCTTATTTGATTTTTTTAACTTTTTTTTCTGAATGGGTTGTGTTGTGTGGTTACAATCCTATCATCAGCGAAGCCCTTTTCACGTGGGAGGGGGGGGGGGTTGTTATTGAAGTTCATGGACCAAAGTGCAAACTTATACCCTTACCAAGATTTCTTTTTTACCGTCGCTTGTCTCTGTTGGATTTCATTTTCTTATTGTAATTTCTTTTTACTTTTTCGAACTGTTGGTTTTGGCTATGTGCATCTTAGCTATGCAGAGGTCAAGTGTTGCTCATTATGCTTTCTATCCCCCTGATGCAACATTATGTGTTAATAAAAACACCCTTCATCGAATAAATATAAGTTGGGGCTTTATACCTAGCTTAATGTGATAAACACAAATCTAAACCTAGGGTCAAATCTTGGTGGGCTAAATATATAATCATCATCCAAACCATCCAACCATGCGTTGGTTCCCGATTTGATTTGATTTCTTGCTCCATCGGAACTGTTTTTTTGATAACGTGGTAAACTGGTCATAGAAAGGAACAAAGTCAAGAAAATGGGCAAAACGTAACAAAATTAAGGGGGAAAAGTATTCTAGTGGAGGATCTAAAATTTTGAAATTTAATCTTGGTCGAAATCCCATGACGTTAGTAAAGGTTTTTCTATTTCTTTTATCCATTTTAAAACTATCAACTTTTGTACAATTTGTCTAAATTATTCATGAATTCCTGAATTTCTTGTTACTGTTCTAGGGTTTCCCCTTGGGCTTTTCTTTTCTTTTCAATTTTCCTGTAAATCTCATTTCAATAAGCCACTTTTAAAATTATTTTTAGTTCCTATGTTTCAATGTTTGCTTGTTAAATTTACAAATAGCAGAAACTGTCCTCTCAAATTAATTGAGTTTTTGATCAAATAAAACTTTTTTTTCTTCGGGTTTTCCTCTTCATTTCTATAAGCCACTTCTGAAATGATTTTTTTTCAATTTTTGTATGCTAAATTTACAAATATTCAACCATTCAAATAAAACTTAAATTTCACTTTTTATTCTGACTGGATTGTCCTCTGTGTACAGTTGTATAGCCCCTGAAGCCCTTTTCACTGGGAAAACTATTCAACTATTCACTTGACAGGCCAAGTGTTTCCTGTTACTGAAGTTGAAGTTCATGGACCAAAGTGCAAACTTATACGCTTACCAAGATTTCCTTTTTACCGTCGCTTGTCTCTGTTGGATTTCATTTTCTTATTGTAATTTCTTTTTACTTTTTCGAACTGTTGGTTTTGGCTATGTGCATCTTAGCTATGCAGAGGTCAAGTGTTGCTCATTATGCTTTCTGTCCACTTGATGCAACATTATGTGTTAATAAAAACGTCCTTTATCGAATTAATATAAGTTGGGGCTTTATACCTAGCTTAATGTGATAAACACAAATCTAAACCTAGGGTTTAATCTTGGTGGGCTAAATATATAATCATCATCCAAACCATCCAACCATGCGTTGGTTCCCGATTTGATTTGATTTCTTGCTCCATCGGAACTGTTTTTTTGATAACGTGGTAAACTGGTCATAGAAAGGAACAAAGTCAAGAAAATGGGCAAAACGAAACAAAATTAAGGGGAAAAAGTATTCTAGTGGATGATCTAAAATTTTGAAATTTAATCTTGGTAGAAATCCCATGACGTTAGTAAAGGTTTTTCTATTTCTTTTATTCATTTTCAAAACTGTCAACTTTTGTACAAATTGTCTAAAGTATTCATGAATTCCTGAATTTCTTGTTACTATTCTAGGGTTTCCCCTTGGGCTTTTCTTTTCTTTTCAATTTTCCTGTAAATCTCATTTCAATAAGCCACTTTTAAAATTATTTTTAGTTCCTATGTTTCAATGTTTGCTTGCCAAATTTACAAATAGCAGAAACTGTCCTCTCAAATTAATTGAGTTTTTGATCAAATAAAACTTATTTTTTTCTTCGGG